AGACATTATAACTAAAGAAAAGGACTCGCGTAATAGATATATAGGCTTTGAAACTGGCGCTGTAATTGGAATTAATTAGAGGCATTTTACCAGTCGTTCCTTTGCTGACGATTTTAACCCTTGCCGTTGCCTTTTGCCCCCTTTTCTTTTTTTTTATCTTTCTGGTAAACAACAGCGCATCTGAATTTCTGACATGTTTCCTAACCCTTAGGGTTCCTTCTGGTTTCTATCTTCAATTATTTCTCCTCACGTTTGACTGACATCCTTCTACATTTCCTGATGATGATAAGGTATAATATAAAAAAAGAGAATTTACTTATTTTCACTAATGTCTTTTTTTAAATCAGACTTTTTAGCTGAATTTGATTTTTTTCATCACAAAAAAAAAAATGAAACAAAAAAATAATTTTACAATAAAAAAATAAAATTATTATAAATAAAATTATTTGTTTTATACAAATTTTTCAAAAAATTCTAATTTAGAGAATTTAAATGAAAAAAAAAATTCAATATTTTATAATATTTTGAATAAATAAGAGACCATAAATCCGTTTAGTCAAATCATTATTATCCATAAATCATATGTACTTATATTATTTAACCATAATTTTAGGAGGAAGAAAAACTTCACTTCTCGTTAAGATTTATGTCTTGCTCTCACGAATAAGCATCTCGTTTATATATACATATATATATAATATTTTAGAGTTTAAATTCCAATTTCTCAAAATCTAATTTATATTTTATTAAATAATTAAAAATCATTCTAAATTTAAGTTTAAAATAAGAATTTAAAATAATTAATGATATTATTGATCCGAAAATTCGCGTCCAAAGTTATACATTTCATCTAATAAAAAATTAATTTCTATAATTTTATATGATCTTTATATTATATTTTTTTTACTCCATAAACGTTTTAACTATATATAATTTGAAATGGAAAAAAATCTAATAATTCCAATCGTATTTTCTGTAAAAGGCAATCATTTTACAATTCTTCACTTTCAATGATTATTTGTCTAAGTAGAAGAAGAAAAAGAAGAAAAAAAAAAATAAATAAATGTTAGACGTCAAGGTAAAAGAGACTGAAAAGTTGTATTGCGTGTTCATAATAGGGCTTAGAAGAATTTTAGGATTTATGAACGATAATGTTACACACCATAGCTTCGCCTAAAAATGGCGTGTTCTTTTAGCGTGAAACATAATGGACTTTCAAATAACGTTTTTCACATTGCGAACATGATTGCACCTAAAAGATTTTATTTTACTTATTTAACAAGAAATAATAGTCTGACTTTCTATGGAAATTTTTTTATTTGAAATTCAAAAATCAAAAAAAAATTCTATCTTCAAATATTTTTGAATTGATATTTATTTATCGAATTCATTAAAAAAAATTACTTAATTTAAAATATAAAATAAAAAAACAAAATAAAATTAAATTTTTGGATAAATAAAATTTTTTTTTCAAATTAAACTTCGAAAAAATGAAACTTATATGAATTTTTCAATAAATGGAAAATATGAAATTTCTGTTAATTGGAGTTTTAGAAGAACAAAAAAGAAAATATATATATTTTCATTTGAAAAATAATTAATTTTATGCCTACAATTTTTTTTTAATTTTTTGATCAACGTTGCAAATAATTTTTTTCGACAATAATTTGCAGAGAAAAATATTTTTTCTTCTAAATCATTGATGATGATAAAAAAAAACTTCAGTGACGTGTTTTGAGTCAATTAAAAATACTCTGTCACAATATTGAAAAGTAAGAAAAGAAAAATCTGACTAGAAAATTTAATTAGAAAATAATAAAATATAAAAACGAAAATTCTAAATAATTTTTTAAAAAAAGTGGATTGTAAAAAAAAATTTTTCAAATATATCTCCATTGAGGTGAATTCGTCTGGATATAAATATATATAAGCACGGGACGTTAATTCGTCGTGAAACGCGTCTCTTATTATGACACTTGATGGCACCCAAAGGTGTTTACCTTGACACGGGATGTCCGATTAAACGATGGCATGTAATAATAATAGCTAGATGATACTGGCAATAGTGCTTTCATTTGAGGGTTCTATTAAGACTAAAATGGGGTATACCCTCGTATAAATATATAAGCGAAAGCATGCTGGTTATTATCATCAGTAATCTCGAGACTTTCCGCATCCCTCTCCTTCATGAGTCAGTTTAACCAACCTGGCGATTTGCAGTATGGATCGTATAAATTGTACTCGAGTGCTCCTCTCAAGGATAACTCTGTAAATCTATGTAATTTCTCGTCCCTTCGAATATATATATATATATATACGAGAGAGGGAACATAACCGCCTCTTTATTATGGCTCAACTATATTATACATATACATACAACCTCTACAAAGGAAGATTTATTTGGACAAATAAAGATTTATTCCAATACGAATATCATAAGTGCTCGACGATTATTTATTGTCAGAAGATGTATAACCATTTTATATATACAGTTGTTTCTCTCCAAGTAAATCAACTGTCAATATTAATGTAAATCCAAAACATATTTGCTCCAAATAAATATTTCATCTATTTTGATTAAATTTTATTCCGTTTTTTTTTCTTTGAATGCCAATTCCTATTGCGATTTTGAGAAAAATCTCATTTAGAAAGAATGTAAAAGTTTCTTTTTTTATGGATAGAATTTTTATTTGTTCTCTCACTGACATCGACGTTAATAGAACCACGTTTTCAAAATAGTCACATAAAACTCCTTCGTATTCCATTAACTTTTCGGAATTTTTTTTTCTTTCTTTTCTCCTTTATTACAATTGAAAACTGAAAAAGGAAAAAAAAAAGTAATACTTAAAAGTAAAAACAACTCAATTAGTCGTATTTCGATCAGAAAAGTCGATGAAGTCATTATATAGAGTTCGAAAACCTGCTTGTAAAATGTTATCTTATTGAAACAACTTTACAGAAATATCCAACAATAAAAATGCAAAACGATGTGAATGCACATAAAATGCAAAATAAATTCATCGTTTAAACAACAAAGCAGTGGCTAATGGTTTTGCAAATCAGAAAGTTGAATCGGTAATTCTCGCTGATGGTGGCAATGTGCTTTGGGCTATAGAAATAAAGGTGTATATATTTGAATGAGAGGCGTTTTGTATTGAACAAAGTGAAGAATGAGAAGAAGGCCGTTCCGAGAGCAATGCAAAAACTGTATATATGTATATATATATATATACACTCACAAATGTAACCAACATCTCTGAGAATCATTCGACTATATTGCTTTTGTAGCCATTGCCAAATGAATGGGACGTGATCAGTTTCTCCTCACAAACTCAAATAGAGCCGAACCAACTATATATATATACCATATTCAACAAACTTTACAATTCATTGAGCGAACTCGATAGTAATTATTATCAGCTTGTTCATTAAATTCATCCAAGTTTACAAAATTACACAACATTCATTTAGAATCGAATTATTTCCCCAAACTCGAAAAATTCACTGTCAGTGATAAATTATTCTACTTCATCTTCACAAATTTTTCCTTTTATTTGACTTTCATTTTTAAAAATTACTTCTATTATTGGATTCTTTTGTAAATGATCATCTTGCGATGACGTTCAATTTAAGAAGAAATTGCAAGCAATAAATTTAAGCTACCGAAAAAAAAAATAATACATCAAAGATACTTTGAAACAAAATATTTCCGGATTCAATTCAATTATCATATGAAATAAATTCATTTTTTTTTTTTGCGTCTCATAAATTTTTCCAATCTCATTTGAGAGATATATAGATATATTTTTTCGTATTCATGTCGATACCTAACGGCCAATGAAGATCGAAAGATTTGGCTCAGTGGTTTCGGAAATTCTCCACGATTTAATAGGGTAATTTTCTAAAAATCGATATACCTTTGATGTTACGTGTTCCAAAAAAAGAAAATAATGTTCAATTCACAAATCTTTTAAATCGTTAATAAATATTTATATTTTCTTTTTCCTTTTATCCACAGTAACGCTACAAAATTGAGAATCAATTTATTTTCATATTCCACTAGAGTAAATTCGAAAAAAAAAATTCTCCAATCAATTTTTTTTTAATTACATCTGTTATTATTTTTCTAATAAAGTACCCAACAAAAAAAAAAAATTATAAAAAAATATTTTTCTCATTTAAATCTGTTATTATTTTTCTAATAAAGTACCCAAAAAAAAAAATTATAAAAAAATATTTTTCTCAATTAAATCTGTTATTATTTTTCTAATTCTTTGAAAAATATTTTGCCAAAAATTAATTATTTAAATTTTCAAACTTCTTTCCACGCAAATAAAAGACTGGAAAGAATTATACAGTCGAATAAAAGAACGCAAAAGTTTTTAATCCAATTCACAAGATGTTGAAAGTTTGGGTATATATATAAAAAAAAAGGAATGAAAAAAAATTGACGGTCTCTTTTTTAAAAAAAAGGGGAAACTTTTGAAGAATAGTTCCTTTATGGAAGTAGATTCCAATTAGACTAAAAGTTACGAGGTGCGAACCATATATATATATATACTAAGAGGATTGAATTTGGCTAAAAGCTTTCTAATCTCTCTCTCGAAATTTTCGACTAAAACGGGTACAAAGGCTTTTGGATTTGTATGTCGGAAATCCTTGTCATCGATTTATCACACTGAATGGATAATGGCGTGCCTACATGGACGTTAGTGTGGTTAGCGGACTTTAATGGCACATTATGCTTCCTATTCTAATGGTTGACTGCGCACACTTGAACCAACTTTAACCATCATCTCGAAAACCACCTACACTCCAAGCCATAAGAATAACTATAAAAAATTTTCAGTAGCTATATAAGCGAATTTTATATCAAAGCACATTTTTTTAAATTTTAATTTCGAAAAATGGAATTCTCCAATTTTCAATGTTATAAATCTTAAAATTTTAAAAATTAAAATTAATAAAAAATTTTAATTAAGAAAAAAAAAAGTACTCACCAGAACGTCTTGAAGAAGTTCGTGTTCATCGAGAAGAATCACTTTGCAGTGAAGAAGACGGGGCCTCCGATTACCAGTGGGTCTCAGTCCCGGACACAGCCAATCGACAACCATTGCTCTTCTTCGATATTGCGCCCTTGATCAAATCTCTTTCTCGCTTCTTCCTCGAATTTAATGCATTCTAAAAAAAAAAAATGAAATTTTGCACAAAAAACAAATTATAATATTCACTAAAACTATCATTGTGTATTTAAAATATAAACGCATTGTCGAAAGGAAAACTCGTCTGGATCGTTAATCAGTCAATTTTTCGATCTTATCTATATCTTAAAAGAGGCGAGAATAAGGCGTTCCTCGGATGAATCAAAGTCGACCGAAGGGTAAAGAAAGAGATATACTTGTAATAATAATTTTCTCTTTTTTTTTCATGTCAATATCGCAATTTTATAAGAACTGCTAATGCGTTTTAATTAATTTCATATTTATTTCCAAAGAGTATTCAATAAAATTATCATTATAACAGAATTCAATAAATTATACAATTATAGAATTTTATTATAGAAATTTTTACATTAAATTACAAATATTAGAAAATTAAATGAAAAAATTGGAGAAAAAAAGACAATTTTATTAAGATGAGTGAGATCACACACAAGTTGACACAAGTAAGGATAATAATTATTGAATTCTAGTTATGAGATGGCTATTTACGAAATGAACTCAGTTGACACCGTGGCAAAGGAGAAAATTGAGAGAATCTATATCGAGAAATAATCTTTCAATAGCAAAATTTATAAAATAATTCATATAAGAGAGACGGGAATTTCAATATTATATATATATTATCGTGACAAGTTTTCACTCTGATTTACTAATCGGAAAATCGTTGAGATGGTAAATTTATTTTGAGCCCAGACACATCTTCGCTTCCTGGTATATATATCGCGCTCTGAAAAAGATCCAAAGCGCCTCAAACGTCTTTCCTCTCCTGTTCGTTTTTACCGTTACTTCATAGTTCTAACATTATGCGTTGAATACGATTCCCCAGGGTGTCTCTTATACGCATCAAGATATTCACTTTGATGCGCTGTAAAATATATATATTTTTCCTAGGCTGCTTGAAATTTTAATAAAGGTCCCTTGAATAAAAAAAAAAAAAAAAAGTTATAAAACGTTATCGTAAAAGTATATTATGAAATATAAGAACTAATAAAATATACCTATTAATTTTTAATTTCAAAAAGATAAAATTATAATCTAAAAAAGTCGCTATTTTTTTCGAAATTCAAAAAACATTTTTTTTTATCTAAAAAAAGAATATGACAGTTGAAAAATAAAGTGAATTTAGAGAGGATAAAAGAAATCTCTCTCTCTCTCTCTCTCTATTGAAACAATTTTTCTTTTTCCTGAAGATGAAGAAATATTTTTCTACACCGACAAAAGGTGAATTCGCACGTGAATTGAAATAATTTTTCTATTGCTTCGACACTCAATTTCTCACCAGTACTTGATGTTTTATTTTTTTTTTTTTTTTCCGAAACACTAATGCACCTGTCTAAAAACCATGGTGTGATGTCGGGAGGTCCTATAATCGAGAGCCGGATTCGAATGAAAAAAAAAAAAAAAAAAAAAAAAAAAATACACACGACAATGTTCTGTGCATAATACATCAATCCTTAAAGAATGCCTTCGCGTCCAACGAATCGCCAAGAAAATTAATGGCCCGTGCTTTGCATACTCCAAAGAAATTTTCAAATACCTTCGCGGTACCGTAAGAGACGTCTTTGTACAACTAAGTTACATGAAAAAAAAAGAAGGAAAAAAAAACAATCAAAATTCTATATGAACAAAAAAAAAAGGTAAAGGAAATCTTAACAAATAAAAACTGGACAATTAGTTTTTTTTTCGAATAAGAAAAGTCGGATATAGAATCAATTTTTCTTCGTGATGATACAGCTATATATATTATGTTTAAAAGATGAGTAATCATATATAGAAAATATAACTCTTTTTTATTAGAAAAATATTCTGTTTAAAGAAAATACTTTTAATTTAAGAATTTAATTGATTCTTCTATAAGCTTTTCTGATTGATGAAATAACGTTATTCGAGAGTATGAGGAAAAACCAATTCTGTTATAAAAATTACATTTTTATTATTTTACCTTTTAGTCGAGTCACTATTATATTATATATATATATATATATTTTCCACGTTATTAATTCTTTTATAAAGATTTTTGCACAATCAAACTTTAAACGACTTTTTAATTCATAAATTGCAAATTTAATATATTTTCTTTATTCTTATATTAATTTAAAAATTAATTACCAATATTAATCATTATTGTTATTTAATAATTATTTTATAATTTAATATTCATTAAAAAAATTTTCCCTATATTTAAAAAAAAAAACCGAATAATAAATTATTCTTTAGAAACAAAAGTAAATAAAATTGAAAAAAAAAAATAAATAAATTCATATTTCAGTAATACTGAAATACAGATTTAGTAAAATATATAACGATAATTAAAGTATAATTAAAAGCCAGACTAATTTACAAGTAATTGAAAAGTGGCTCGTTACGGAGTACGTAAAGGGCGATAAATTAAAATTTTAAAAAGGGAACTAACGAGAAAGAATAATTAAGTATGAAATTGTAGGATTGAAGGATTTCGTATATAGTTGGTGAGGGGGGGGGAGGAGGAGGGGGGGAGAAGAGAAATATTAAAAAGCGCAGAGAGACTAAACGCGCGCGTTTTCCGGAATTATTACGGTGTTAGAAAAGCATGGATACAGTTAGGAATAATTATTGGTAATTAACGCTTTCAAGCATATATAGAATGAATGCGTAAAAGAAACAATGATTCTTAAGTTCCGGACTTATTACGCCTAATTAATCTGCTTCTCATGAAAGAAAGAAAGAAACGTTACTATATAGTAAGATTCACACGAGTTATATGCATTCCCTTAATATTCGTTTCCGGTTGCATTTTTTTTTTTTTTTGCAAGTACAACTAAAATGCCTTTAACCTGGCGTAAGCGTATTCCTTTGCTCTCATATTCTGAGAATAATAAGAACTCGAGTATATATATCACCTCACATTGTTCACTGACTGTCACCCTTTACACGTTGGAAGTGACTTTTGATATAATCATATCACGTGTGAAATTCGCGCTATCTTTTTTTTTTTTTTTCTTTATTAGAAAAAAATTCCAGTCTCCTATTTCATAAAAAAAAGAATCAAATTCTGTTCTTTTTTTTGTGTTATATGGAATTATTTTTCTTGACTAAAATTCTATAATTAAATTTGTTTTATATTTAAACATATTAAAAATTAATTTAAATTTTCGTGTCAATATTTTTTTTTCTCTTATAGTTTAAAATAGTTTAATTAATTTCGAAAATAAAATTTCAATTAAATTGATAAATCCAATTAAACTATTAATTGTTTTTTTTTAAAGTAAATTTAGTAGTTTTATTGACTGATTTGAAAGTTTAGTTTTTAATTTTCTAACTTTTTTTTAACGAATTAAAAGAATGTGAAATTTAAATTTACATTTTAGAATTAGTTGTTGCTATTAAATGTATACTGTTTATTCATTTTGATAAGTGTTTCAAAGATAACAAGTTAGATTATTTCAATCTTATATATATTCAATCCTTAGAAAACACAGGAAACGATTATGTGAAACAAAAATTATTCGAGTCTTTAATTGTCCGATTGTGTTTTAACTATCATCTTCTTAAATCAATAAAATTCTCAATTGAGAATTTAAAACAAATCCTAGGGATTTTAATTGGGATTTTAATTACATTTTCAAACGAATAAAAAAAAAACTCTTAAATATTTTTTGAATTCTTAATTTTTTTTTTTTTTGCGTAAAATAAAATTTTTTTAATATTTTAAAAATTTTCAAATGTAATTTTAAAATAGTTTGTAATTTAAAAAAAAATTATTATAATTATTTTAAAATAAAATGTCATTATTAAATTAATTTCTCCGCTTCTTAGAATGAAACAAGAGATTAAATTTTTTTACGCAATGCATTTTACTAATGTTTAGCAAAATCAGTTAATAAGAGTTTTAAATTGCTTCATTAATTTAATTCGTTTTCCCTTAATTAGAAAATATTGCTGGTGTTGAGAATTTTCCATTAGTAAATGAAACTAAAAATTGTATTTTACTTCAGTGAAAAATGAAATATTTTTATACTCTTAATTAAAATTTGCTTTCAAATATTTTTTTTTTTCATCTTAAAATAATGAGAATTTTCAAAAAAAGAAATTTAATTATTTTTTTTTTTATATGTCAAGATTTTTAAATTTACATTTTTAAAATAAATAAAATTCTTTCAATTATAAATATTTTCATAAATAATAAATTATTTTAAATTATAATGAAGCTCTCTTTAGAGAAAAATTCTCATTTTTAATGACTGTATCTTTTAGAAACGTGATATAATTACAAAGTAAAACGCGAAACTGAAGATTATTCGTGACTTTTTTCAATGTTTAAAAATTTATTTCATTTATGCAAAAATTAATGACATGAAAAATTTAAATTATTTTTTAATATTATTTGTAGTTCTTAACTTTTTTGTTTTAAATTTCAATAATATTATTTTTCTATTTGAATTATTTGTTAATCCCATTTTTTTAAATTTAAATCTCTATTTTTCACATAAAATTTGTTTTATACCAAAAAGTTTATGTGAAACTACAATAGAGCTGACTACATTAAATCCTTAATCCGTTTTTGTTATGTTAGTGTATCAAGGATCTTTTTTTTTTTTTTGTTTTCTAAAGCACTGACTATAAACTTCGATAAACTTTGTTATTAAGCCATGCATATTTCATCGAAATTCAAACATCAAACTATTCTGTATGCAACGCAGAACACCTGTTCGCGTCTTTTAACACGTGACATTCCTCAACCCGGCAAAAAAAAAAAGAAATATTCTCCATAACTTATCACCAAAGCTCATAAGTACATACATAAATTACAAAAAGAAATGAAAAAAATTTCAAACAAACCTCTTTAAGAAATGCAAAATAAGACGAAATCCTTAAAATTCACTTAATTCTTGAACTTGAATGACATTAATTTTAATAATTGTCATTTTTTCACAGAAATTCATCACCCGCACATTATCCGAATGACAGTTGTTTTTGTATTTCGCGCGTCATTTCAAAAACAAAACAAAAAGGAAGAAAAAACACGGTATAAACGCGAAAAGGTGGCAAACAATGATTTTGAAAAAAAAGGATAAATTTAGAAATTTCGAGAATTTACAAACGGAAACGAACAAGTGACGTTGACGGGAATGCGAACTAACGGATACAGGACGCGCGATGAAGAAATACCGGGAGAAAACGACGAAAAGTCGAGGTTGAGAGAGAGAGAGAGAGAAAGAGAGTGCGCGCGATGAGCTCTCTCGAGAGGATCACGGCCAGTGCTCCGATCAGACTGAGTCGAGTCAAGTAAAGAGGATTCAGATATGCTTTTGCCTTGTGTATAAGCCTTTCATTTCTTTTCCTTTATACCTTTCCTTCGCTTCGTATTCTATCTCTCTTACCCTTTCAAAACACTTGTGCAGGTTCACTTTGTTAATCACGATACAGTGCCGGATCCAACAAGGGCGATTCTGGGCAATCAAGACTCATTTTCATCCATTGGTGATAATAATAATAATGATGATGATGATGATGATGTAGATGATGACGATGACTGGACAACGATTTTTGGATGAACAGCATCTTTAGTCCTACAAGAAAAGTACAGTAATCACTTTTTATTCGTTCAGTTACATTAACCAGAGATTATTGTTGTAAATATTATAAAGAAATATTGTAAAAAACTAAATAAAATAAAATAAACATAAACTATTTTTTTATCTCTTTTTTCTTTATAGTCGAGACTCTCTTAAATTATTATTTTAAAAATTTATTAGTCAATTAATTATTACAAAAAATTACTAATTAATGGTATTCAAAAACAAATGTGAAAAATTATCATTAAAAAAAAAGATTATTTATCCAAGAAGAAATTATTAACAAAAATTACCTTTTTCGTGAAAATAGAATTTCATTTATTAACAATGAAATATTAGTGTTTTTTATTTTTGAAAGTAATAAATAAACGAGATTTTATTAAAAAATCTGAAAAGCTTACATAAAAAAAAAAAGGGGGAAAAATAAAACTCTCAAGAGCTTCAGCATATATAGCATATTATATAAAGCCGTTTTGACAAATCCCCAAAAGTTAAAAAAGTAAAATATGTGCTTTCAGGGATTTTACAGAAATTTGGTCAGACATTCTTGAAGAATTATTCGGAATTCTAGAGAATTTTTCAAGAATATTAAAGAAATATTGTTGGGAAAAATACATATGTTTTCAAATAAAAAACAGAAATTGAATTTTTTGAATATTTAAATAATTTCAAAAAATTGTAAATTGTAAAAATCGTAACTAAAAATCAGATTCAACTACTACAAATTATTAATTACATTAATTCTAAATATTAATATATTTTTTTCTATAGTATTAAATTATATTAAACTTTGTACAATATGATGTATAAATATTAAATTTTATTAGTTTTTGTTTATATTTCTCTTTTTTAACTTATATATATATATATATATGTGAACACTACGAAATAAATTGAACGCTTTGGAAATATGGGTGAAATTACTGGAATTGATTTCAAAGTAAATGGTTTCTTCTGAGATCCTGATAAAGCGAAAACATATATATTATTTTTCTGAAACGTACTTCTAGATGTTAGAATTTTTTTTCTATATGACTTATGAGTAAATAGACTAAAAAAGCACTCCTAAAAAGTGACATCCATTAATAAAGTCTAGCAGACTTAAAATGAAATAAAAAAAAGCACGTTAAGAAAAATTTCTAGAAATGTTGAAATTTTTTTGTAGAATTCAGTTTTTTTTAATAATATTAAAAATATTAAAAATATTAAAAATATTAAAAATATTAAAAATATTAAAAATATTAAAAATATTAAAAATATTAAAAATATTAAAAATAAATGAATGAAAATATTTATATTCAATAAAAATAATTGATTTTAAATATCAGGATTTTAAATAATTAACTAGAAAAAAATATATAAATTTTTGCTCAACCAATAACATTTTAATGATTAAAATGAAAAAGAAAAAATAATTGATTGAGCAATTATAAACAAATTTACCAATTAATAACGCTTGAAAGTTCTTTTTTTTAACGAAATATATAAAAACAAAAATTAAATTTGTATTCATAAAAAAAAACAATTACAGAAAATAAACATTATGAAATTTATCTTTAAAATATATATCTTATTTAAAGATAAAATTAAAACATAAATCTTATAAATTACTGAATTTGTTTGACAAACAACTTTTCTTCTTAATTTAATGAAACTCAGCAGGTTGTCCCAAGTTTTATAATTGCTATAAAGACCAATAAATTGAATAATAAATAAAATAAAATTACAAGAAAATAACAAGTTAACGAATAAAATGAAATCACCTCTGAAATGAGTTCCAGTTTTCAAGCGAATATATATATAAAAGATTATTGATCGTTTTTAATGCACGCGAAATTTAATGGTATTGGTACTTTTTTTTTTAGTATTGTTTCTCTTTTTCTAATTATTAATATTTTCATAAATTAATATGAGAATATTAAGAAAAATTAAATATTTACAAACAATAATTTATTATTTAAATTTTTTTTATTATTTTAATTTACTTCAGTTTTTTATTTATAATTTTCGGGTTTTATGCGTTTAATTCAATAATTTAATTTTTAATTTTAATTGATAAAAGAGAGAGAAGAAAAAAAAACTTACCGCACTGAATATAAGAGCAGCATAGTAAATGGCACTCGCCTTCCGCTGAAGAGGACCTCGGTCTCGTGCCAGGTTTCCTTCCTAATATATACTTCGTTGCACGCATCTCGTTGAAGAAGTGTCTACAAAAAAAAATTGCCAATTACAAGTCTTGACAACTGTGTCGTTGTGCTACTTCTAAATTACATTTCATATGTCATATTCAGAAGGTAAAAATTTCACGTCGCTCTGAATTCACAACATGTTAAACGTACATCTATGATATCATTTCAACTCATTTATTAAACTCTTATGTAAATAACAGACAATTTTTATATTCAAATGGAATTTTTTCATATAGAAATTAATTAAATTTAATTTACGTATTTTTTTGCGATAATATTTTATAATAAATATAGCACACTCGAAATATTAAAGTAAAATCGCAATTTTTTGATTTATTGATGAAACACTGGTTCGTAATTAATTTTCTCCACAAAAGTTAATTTACTTTTTTTTTGCGTATAGAAATTTTCTGCGGAGAGTGCTTATCAAAGAAAAAAACTTATCTTGCTTTTATTACTTTAATATTTTTCCCGTTTTTACGCTTCTTTCTACTGTAACGTTATTAATATATACGAAACATTTATAAAGTTTTCTTTGAAAGGTTGCGAAAAAGAAAATTTTATGCGCAAAGCGCGTTTATAAAACTTTTAAGAAAAATTTTACTGTTTTTAATCTACTTTCCGCACATCTTATGCTATAAGTTTATGTTTTATTACAAATCTTAAAATTCCAATTACCACTTTACCATTATATTTACTTTATTCAATCAGAAAAAACTTTATATTAGGATTATAAATTTTATTATAAAATAACAATTTTCGGTAATTTTCATGAAAACTAACCTTATTGTTAGAAAATTACTATTATTACTGGCTTTTTTATATACTTACAACATTCTGACTTTCGATTTTATTGAAATTGTAATAAAATACCTATGACTGTCTAAAATAAACATTTATATTAAAAATATTATTTAAATTCCGGTTATAGAACAAAGCGATTGAAACAAAAACTTAGAAGAAATTTTACGAAGCACATGAGGTTATCAACAAAGAAAAAGTTTTTACCTATTTGTTGTAACTTCTTTTTTTATTAATTTCACGATATTTCAACTTTATAATAAATTTTCCACGGTCTTCATTATCACTAGAATACTTTATTGTTTAATTATTTGCAACTAAATAAACTTTTTTAATCAAAATACAAAGATGAACACACAATCAAGAAAACCGTCAATTTTAAATTATAATTAGAAATTTATAAATAAAGAAGTTAAAGGTGGCAGCACTGATCGGCAAATCTGCTGCCCTCTACAGTCTCTTTTTTATAACCTCAAAACTAAGTAAACTCAGTCGGTACAACAATACTCGAACTTTCTAGTGTTTAAATCACAAAAGAAACATATTTCTTATAAAAAAACAGTGTTCTACAAGTAAAACAGTTGTAACAAATCATTTTATTATTAAGATTATAATATCATAATAACATAAGTAAAAGACAAATACTCGATTAATATGAAATAAATTCAAAAAGTGATAAAAACTGACAATTTTCCTCAAACTTGTTAATCATGTAGAAATAATAGTAATTATAGAAGTGTTACGTGATAAATCTAAATTTTAATAGTTTGAAATTTAATAACGGCAAGCATTATATCCAGAGACATAAGTGATAAATTGTTCTAATTGTGGAAATTAAAATAAATAGTTAAATTAAAACCTCTCCACGTAGAGTGTTGACGTGTATAATGGCGACGTGGTTTGGAGATGGATTACCAAGTTTATCTAATTTAAAGGGACAAATTACAAATTTCACTAAAGAAGTTCTTTCCGAAGGGATCGTCGAAGAAATAGGTACATAGTTTTTTTTTTAATTATATAAATTAAATTATTAAAAAAAATATAAAAAAAACAAAGTTATCTTTTCTGTGTAGGTTAGGTTAACCTTCGCTGTCAAAATAAGGTTCTGTTTTATCGACCAATTAAAGATCTTTAAATTTCAGCGGGAATGTTGTTTAAATTTAAATTTTATATTTATAACAATTTTACTCCGACTTTTAATAGTTTATTTTTATTTATATCAATTAATATTATTTTTATTATTTTATAATTTAAAAAATTATTATGGGGGTTTAATATTTTTAAAATAAACATTTATGAATTTCTTGTTAAATATTTAATTAATCATTGTTTTTACAGATGAACGTTCTAAGCAATTAAACGATGCAAATGAAAAATGTGTTGAATTACAAGAAATATTGAATGCAAAAGATGCTGAGGTAAATTTAATTAATTTTATCAAATTATTACTTTAGTTTTAGTTCAGTTTTTTTAATTTTTAGTCACTTCCAGGTTTAAATTATTAATTAATAATATAAAATTTATTTTATTTTTTATTATTAATATTAAATTGATTGTATTTAAATAATTATCAATTTAAAAAAAAAATTCGTTCCGGTTAACGATAGAAATTATAATTTATATATTTAATTAAATCTATTTTTTCAGCTGAAAAAAAAAACAATATTAGCTTTATTCGTTTAGAAATTAAAAATTGATATAAAATATCAAAAATATTATTTTAGCTATAGAGTCGGTTAAATAAAATATGTTTGCTCTATTCTTTGCAGATAAAAAGTTACCCTTCGATTAGAAAATATTTCAACAGATGTCGATTTCCCTAATAAAATGCAAGTGATCGATGAGCAAATATGTCCCTGTTGTCTTATCTGATTATACATTTAAACATTTTTCAAAAATCAATTTTAGTTTTATTGAAATATTTTGAAAATTCATAATATTTTAATTTAGCTTAATTTAAAAAATAAATTTTCATTTCCATTTTTTTCATAGGAAAAATTAAGTGTTTTTTTTAACGAATGGAAATTTTTATCGTCTAGTTAGGTTTAAAAAAAAAAATTGTGATATTCTACTATTTAAAAGAAAGAATGGATAAACGCGACAATACTTTGAAAATGGTCACTGGTTTTAAATTTAGTAGATAACTTTATCTATGTGGTTCGATTAGTTCTAATGTCGATTATTTATCTTTGTAACTAAATCATCAAGTTGGCATATATATATATATATATATATATATATATATATATTGTACTGCAATATTGTTTCATACCTTTTTTTTCAAATATTTAAAATTTCCACAAAAATCCATCTCTTTTTCTTTATAAATCTTCATTATTTGAATTAAAATAATAAATTGCGAATTATAAATCCTTATAGAGGTTGCATAAAAGCCTTGGGAGTCTCTTATGTCTTGACACGTCTCTCTGCAAAAAAATAAATATCATTTGAATTATGAATTTTTTTGATATTATCTTTAGACAATGTTTTAGAAATTAATATTTATTAATTTTTTTAATTCAAAAAATATATTTGAATCAAAGAAAAATTCTTTTTTGATTTAAAAAAAAAATGTCTTTGATTTCATAATTGATTAATTAATACTATATTTAAAATTGAATACACTTTAAAAAGGAAAAAAAAAAGCCTGTATATATAATTGTTGTGGGTGTGTTTTATGAGAATGGAATTTATCATTTCAAACATTATAGAGAAGTTTGTCTTCTTTATCTCGGGTACTGAAGTATGTCGATACGAGTCTGACAAAATTCCCACTTTAACAATATATATTCATCTTAAACATATAGCGAGCCCACAGCGGATTGCGTTTCTTTGACTGCGAGTAAGTACTTAGGGGAAGTAGATCTGAGGCCTTTACAAGATCAGCTGGAAAGAGGAGATCGGTTATCGCAGTGCAAACCTGAGATAAGAAAGGCAAACAGAAACGCGCATCGCACCGCTTTTACTCGCAGCAAAAACACACCACAAAACTTCCTTACTGATTAAGCTCGCACCAATATTTAAAGTTGAAAAAAATCGGGCATTCACCGTTCTGTTGTATTAATTTTAAAAAAAACCGAAAAAATTGCATTAAAAATCTATTTAAAAAAAAAATAATAATAATGTAATAATTTTTAGTTTTTTATCCTAGAAAAAAAAATTATATAAAGTATTTTTATATATAATAATAATCTATTTTTTTCTACTTATAGATATCGTTGCTTCGTCGGCAAAACATCGAATTGCAGAAAACAGTGGTAGAATTAAATGCAGCAAAATCGAGAGAACATGTAAGAAAAAAAAAATTATTTTTAATATTTAAAAAAATATAGACTCATCACTTTTCTAGACGGATATTTTTCTCTATTTGCAAATACTATTATTTTTAATTAAATAAAATTGTTCGGATTTATTTTATTAAAATATTTCTTTTTTATAGGCGTCAATGTTTCGCGATTATTTTTTCGGAATATTTATATAGAAACTTATTATATAGTCTTTTTCTCTTTTGAGACTCAAAAATAAATGAATTTGTGGTGAATCCTATCATCATCATTATTTTGTAAAAAAAAAAAAACTCAGCGTGACGAAATTTATTCGTAATTGGAGTGCGTTTTCATTATTTAAATAAATTGAAGAAAAATGGAGCTAACACACTTTCATATAAATAATATTCTAGAACTTTGTTTATATGCTGAGTAGCAGCTGATGAAATTGACACAAAACACAAAATACTTTTTACTCATGCTTTTATGCGGGACCCACAGTAGCTTCATTCAATGTAATATTTTACAATTACAAGTTTGTGCTTCAAATTTTTAAATTAAATTTTCAAATTGTTTTTATCATTAAAAAAAAATTAATTCTCAAAATTAATCAATTTTCCTCAATTATAATTTTCAATGATGCCGCATTAATTAATTAGAACGTTGTATTAATTTATTTTTTTGTTATAAAATTTTTGACAAAATATTTTAAATTAAAAATAATTTTTTTTTTTCTATCTAAAATAATAAAATAAAATTGTATTTTTTTTTCTGCACAATGAAAATACAATTTTACAAGATGAAAATAGTTAATTTTTTTTCACGCAATAAAAATAATAATTTCGCAGAATGAAAATAATAATGAAGATAATAATAATAATTTTACACAATGAAAATAATGATTTGACACAATGAAATATTTACATATAATTAAAAAAAATGGAATTCTCTTTCAAAATTTATATATGTTTTATGTCTTTTGAGGTGTAAATCCTAAGTGAAAACAGTTTATTGTTTCTATTTTCAAGGAATATAATATAGGTTTTTTTTTTTTTTAAATTTGAAAATATCAAAAGAAGAAAACAAAAGAATATGTGAAAAGAGGAGAAAATTTTGAGTTTCAAAAATAAAATATTAAAGAAACTGAATTTTGTTTATATATATATATATTAAGAATTCTCTAGGAACTTGAGATAAGAAGAATGCACCTTTTTTTTTTTTCTTTCCATCATATCTTGGACTAACAAAGGGTCGGTCTTTTCTATTTTCTTCCCCATTTCGTCTATATAAAAACGTTGACTATTGTGTCATTCTATTCATTCGCGTTTCACTTTTAGATTGTTTGCTGGCGTTTCGGATTGTCGTGACACAAGTGCTTTTTGACTAATTTATGATAGAAAAGGTGCGCGAGAGTGTTTGAGACTCGTTATTCACCGGATATGACAGTCGGTACCATCGCCTCTTTTTTTTTTTTTTTTCTATTTCTCTCGACCACTTTAGAATAACTTGTGTGTATCAAATTCGATACAATCTATTAATGAATTTGAATCACTAATCATTCAATGTCCATTATTATTCTTCAAATTTTATTTCTCTTTTATTTTTTACCCTTTTTTTTTTGTTTTTTTTTTTTTGTCAAATATAGAAATTTAGCTTTCGAAATTATTTGTAAATATACACTGCTTTTTTTTTGTTATTTGTTTAAAATAATTCTACAAAAAATATCTCAAATCTCAAGTTAAACAGGAATAAGATTCAGGTTTTAGATCCGGGATGTGTTTCAGTTTACTCAATTTTTGTTGATTTTGTAAGTTTGAAACCTGAAATTTATGATGATAATAATGATGATGATGATAGGGTTTTTGTTTGCTTCTTTTTATTTATTTGCGTCTTCAGGAAGTAATTTTTGATTGTCTTGAAAAAAAAAAAAATCTTTTGAACTATTTCCGAAATTTTTCTCAATTATTTTCGGTCGTCTATCGCATTTTTCCTTTTATTTTGTGAAAATAAAATTTTTTATGCTATATTTAATTTAATTTTATTTTATCATAACATACAATGGATAAATTATATTCTCCGATCGATATTATCGTAAAGAATTATTTTTAAATTTTTCCAGTAAAAAGCTATTTTTCATAGACAATTACTAGCGAGTCAAATAAATAGATAAAAAATTTTTTTTTTTCAAGTGCCTTGAGCAAAAAAAAAATTGCATAACGTTTCTATTGACTAAAACTGTCAGCCATAGCAGTTCCCTCAACATTAATGCAACTAATGCAAATTTTTGTATAAGAAATTCATATATAGATAAACTACTATCTTTTGGGCTTTGGAAAAAATAAAAAAAAGTCGTAAGTAAGCAAATTTTTTTTAATTTAATTTTTTTAGTATAATTGTAATCTTCTTCTCTAATTATTATTTATTATATTATTTTGGGTACTTATTTATTTCTTATAGTCAATTTAATTTATAATTTAATTCAGGGTTATATATATATATATATAGGGATCGTTTTACATTTTTGAGAAGAATTTTTGAAATTTGAATTTTAGTTTAACGAATAACTATCGTTAATCTTTTTTCCCATTGAAAAGGATACAATTCCCACGTGCATTCGGACCTAGTGACTTAAGTAAGCAGGGTCACTGCATAAATAAAATTGTAAATTCGATTGCTTGGGCTAAAAGGGTCAAGAGACAATATATAACAAAACGTTGTTTTGCCATCCGTTATCAAAAAAAAATTTATTTAATTAAAAAAAAAAAAAAATAATTTTTTTTTTAAATTTATAAATCAATTTTTATAATAAATTTAATAATTCTGCTTTTATATTGGAGATGAGTTATATGTAAACAATGAATTTTATTCGGATAAGATAATAAATATTTTTAATTCAGGGGTTGATAGTGACTATGACTACCCCTTTTGTTATCTTATAAAGACAACGAATTTTTTTCTAATAAACAATCACGTTTTCTCGATCAGTAATTTAAATTTTCATTAAAGATTTGTTTTTATTGAAAATTAAAACATATTTTCAATTTCTTTTAATTAATTTCTAAAGTAAAAAAATGTTTTAAATAATTTATAAATAATATTATTTAACAAAATTTAGTAATTTTAATTTGATTTCTATTTTTCGAAAAATTTGATTGATGCTAGTAATAGAAACTACAAAAGTAATTTTTTTTTTTTTTTTTTTTTTTTTTTTATCGAAAAAGTAGTTGTATTATCGAAACTGTTCAAGGTTGCTCGTCACGCAAGCAATATCGTTAATAAAGTAAGTAGAGGTATAACGTTATCTTTAAGAAAGTAGGTATCTATAACTCGTTCGAAAAATTAGCCACGTTTATATATATATATATATATATATTATTGTCAGTGAGCCACGACATTTTTTTTCTGGTAGTACATAAAATAAACAACCTGCTCGACTTACAATTATTGTTTTCTACATAATAAACATTCATTGTAGGGAACAGCAATAACAATGTTTAAAAAAAAAAATTATTAATAATTTTTTACAGAAAATAAATTAAAAAAAAAAAATTGTCTCTTTCATAGGAAAATCTTTTTTGAATTTTTTTTATTTACTTTTTCAATTTAAAAAAATAGGAATAAATTTTTTTTTTATTTAACCGAATTTGGAGACAAATAAATTATTCTATTATTTATAATAAAATTAAAATAATAAAGATTAAAATATTTTTAATTAAAAAAAAATTTGTTTTGAAAAATTTCAACCCTAGGGATCGAAATAATTCGAAAGAATAATAAATTGAAATAGAAAAATTTTTCTAGTTTTTTTTTTTTTTCGCGAATGTGAGAAAATTTTTGAAGATTAAAAGGAAACAAATACAAAATCCTTGCTATTATCATAAAAAGTGTGTATGTGATGGCAGGATGTGCCTTTTTCCAATTTGGTTTCCTTCACCTGGCCGCCCGCAGCACCCGTTTACATGCGACTATATAGTAAGGTTATTCGGGCAAGGGGATGGGCGAGAAGGAGGATGGTCGATAAAAATGTCCTGCTGTTAACACACAGCATGAATACTATATATATGTATATATTTAGGCGTAAACATTATCTGAAAGGAAAAGAAGCTAACAGCTATCCTAATTACATTATTCATGATTATATATATATCGTTTAGTTTAGTTTCGTTTTTTTTTTTTTTTTTGCTCTTTTCATCAGCATACACGCGCATATAATAGGGATCAGAGTCATCGTCTGCAGTCAAAATTCAATTCTTTTATTCAAAAAAAAAAAAAAAAAAAAAAAAAAAAAAACTGAAATCTTTCGAATATATATCGTTGCATGAATATACATATATATATACCAGTGCGACTCTAATTGAAGACATGCCTGGGAGAGCAGTGTAACTGCAAAAACCTTCTTTCTTTCAAATTGAGCCTGACCTTCTCCTATCATCTTCTCTTTTGTCTTTTAATAATATAATAATACTTCTACTATTTATTTTAATTTTTTTTTCTTTTTATTCAAATCCCGTTCAAATGAAAAATAAAAAATTTTGTAACATTGAATTTTTGTTTTCCAAACATTCTCTATAAAATTTGAATCAATGTGAAAATTCAAAAAAAGGTAATATTCCAAATTTTTTTTTTTTTTTGTTGGTTAAGTTTTAATGTCTATAAGTAATTGGAAAAAAATTTGGATCATTAGTAAAAAAAACCAACTGATTTGTTATCTTCTAAGAAATCAATTTTTAAAGTGTAAAGAGGAAAAATATTAAAATTTTATAAAAAGTATTCATGAAAAATGAAAAAAAAATTGAATTTAGCCTAATTAATTTTGTTTTTACTTATATTTAAAAAAAAACCGATTACGATGACAAAAGTTGTATAATATTTTTAAATATAAAATAATTTCATAAGTCTAGTTCAATTCATAACAAATAAAATTTTATAACTGTTGCGTAAAATTTAAAAACACCCTATTCTATAAAAAAATTAATACGTAAAAGATATATTTCCACTTGTATACACTCTTTTTTTTTAATATT